CATTTATGTCAGTAGGAGGGAGTCATTCGTTTGGTGTACAGTCCCGTTTTGCCTCATATTGTCTTTATTTGTACAGTAGTGCTTGCCTTGGCTAGTTGAAATTCGGCCTGGTTCATGAAATGAACTGGAATGTACAATGCCTTCTGTCTTTTTTATAGTGTGTAATCTTTATATTGTAGGCCTGTTTGTTGCTCTCTGTACATATTACTTTTACACTTTTTAAATAATGATGTTTTTGTGTTTCTGGAATCCTGAGTTTAAAGTCCATGTTTACTTACAAGCATTATCTCAGGTTTGAACAGTATAAAAGAATAAATAAGTTTATGAATTTATTAGTGCTTTATAAAGTTCAAAACTTTACTGCTAAACTCAGAAAAAAATATAAGGTAAAATATTCATTTTTCAATTTAATTTAAATAGTTTTTAATGCAAATTATAAGTCAGTTTAAGCAATTAAGAAAACATTTATAAATCATTTTACTAAACAACATTTGTTTCTTTCAGGTATGATTCTTTCGATTGTATCTATTCTTTTTGCTGGATATCTGGCCTCCTGTAGCAGGGTAAGTTTTTATATTAATTCAAACCTTATCCTGCTATTTATAGGCAAAACAGTATGCTTTATTGAATGAAAATGTGAAAACGATTTCACTCAATAATTAATCTTACTTATAAGCTAGGTTTTAATTGTCATTATGTTTATATTGGTATTTATTGTAGGGATCTGTTTCTGCAGAAACAACTGCTGTACTTCTAGGAGGAAGAAGCTATGGTAAGTTTTTCTTACTTTATTCTTATTCAATAAAGAAACAAAAATATACGCTTCTGTAGAACACAAGATATCTGTTCATTTAATTCTATATAAACATTAACATTTAACATTGTTTTATTTTCAAATATGTAAATTAGATTATTATGATTGAATCAAAATTGTTTAACAAATATTATGATTAATATGAAGAAATTCACCATAGACTTATTTTCAGTGGAAACCTTCAACTTTTAAATAAAAAATCTAATTTTAATTTTAATTTAAAATTTAAAATACATTTTTACATTAACTGTAATATATGATAAAATATGATTAAAATATGTAAGTTTTTATTTTCTCAAATAATGTTTTTTAAATATTTCAGCAAGACAGAAACATTAATGAATCATATTAAAATTATATTTATATAGGTGGGAAAACTGAATCATATCCCTGTGATGTGGCAATAGGAGATATTGGTTATTATCTAGCAGGACTAGGTAAACATACTTTATTTCTTGGCTGCTCTTATTAAGTCATCCTGAAATTCATTTTGTCCCAGCTATCCGGGATAAAATCACTTCAGCCGAGATGAAATATTCTCAGCAGGGATATAATATTTATTGCTTCCCTGCTGCCAATTTTATATCCCAGCTAGTAATTTCAGTCATCATAATAAAAACTGTAGCAAACTTTATTACAATCAGGTTATATAGATACTAAATATAGATACAGTAATGTTATTTTTCAAAGATTAATGGTTCCCTTGAAGGAGTGAATCATGACAACATTGTCATTTGTAGTTATCTTGCAAGATCCTCCTGTGCCAAAAAAGGCAGTTTCTTGCTGAACCAAAGATCCTTTTAAAGTTGATGGTTTAGGTTCAAGAGATGTCTCTTGTTCAGTATCAGCAGGATTCCTGTAGTTTCAGATGTTTTAATCTTTATATTTATAGAGTTCTCAACTGTAGATGCAGCTGGGTTACTTGATAGAGAAGCCATATTCATCACACTGCACGTTTACTCGTTGATATATATTCTTGAGGCATATTAACAGATTTCCAGCCATAGAAACTGATTAATTATTGAGCTGAGGCTCCATCGTCTGCAGCAGCAGTAGCTGATGACCTTCTGAAAGAATGGAAAGTATAATCTGCATGGTTTGGTTTACCAAGAGTTCTAGCAACCTCATATGAAACCTCAGCTATCATGTTTTTTCCAAGAGACTGGCTCACAAAACTTGGTTCTCTTACTGGTCAGAATCAAAGATGTAATGAAAGGGAGGTTATTTCAGAAGTGTACACATCTTTTATACTGCAGTGTACTGTCTCTGGGCGGTAATGTAAACACAAGACGGATGTTACAGCCTGACATGGGATCCATCTTTCACATGAAATATTCTGGTCATAGGAAACTATTATGTGAATTATCAAAATTGTCAAAATTTAATGCTTTTAACCTCCTCGGATACTAAACAAACACTGATGCATCTATTCTTGTTTACAAATTCCGCCCAAAGAGAACTGGTTTCAATGTGTACATTACACCCTTGGTCAGAATTAACATTTTCAGCTATTTTGCAAAATAAATGACATTTTTAGCTATTTTGCAAAAAAATACAATTTAGCTATTTTGCAAAAAAAAATTTTAATCTATTAGCAAAAGTTGAAAACCAGAATTCTTGGTTAAAAATTGTTCACTGTTTATTTTGATGTTAAAACTTTCCTGTCCAAAAAACACTGCCTGTTTAATTTGTTCCACATAGGTTTGGACAATAGTCGCCCAGTCAATGTCTGAACTTGAGTTAGGTTTAAGCACCAAAAATCTAAAAAAATTGGAAATTTTGAATTTTAAACCACAATATTAATTATATTGAATATAACCTGGAACTTTGTTGGCTTGATCTTTGTTTGGCATGTTCATGAACTACATAAACTCCTTCTTTGTCCAATACTGATTTTTTCCAGAACCAAGCTCATGACCTCAGTGTGGCAGAGTTCTCCGAAAAAGGCGATAATAACCAAGGCTTTCTGAACAAGCCAGTATGCACCTGAGAGAGTCTCATTTTTGACAAATTGTCCAATTTCTTCTTTGGGTTGAAAAGAATGTTTAAAAAGTCTCAAAAAATAAAAGATCCTGGCCGAAATTTATTATTTCCCACCTCCCTTCAACTAGTACGTATATAAATGGATATTTTTAAAGAATATATCTTGAGCTAAGAATGCGAATAAAGTTAAAAACAAGCCTAAATAATATAATGTAGTTTACAAACAACGAGAAAATCAAATTTAAATATACAATTTAAATTTGTCACAGAATTATAGATTAGTTTATCTTACAATATGGAATTCCTATGATTAATACAACAAAATATAATTGATTTTCTAACTATAAGATCATAAGAAAATAAATGTATCCATTTTTTATAATATATTGGTTTTAATAAAGGTGTATTTTTATTCAGTTAATTATATTAATACTAGGCTTTTAGGGCGCTTCGCGCCCATTTTCTATTTAGATTTTCTTTTTGTTTACATTTTAAAACAAAGAAGAAAAAAATTTTGCTGATTTTTAAAAAAAATTCGCGGATTTTCAAGAATTTAAATTTTTTACAAAATTAAAAACCTTTAAAACACATAATTTTAAAAATTTTATCATTCATAAACCTTTCCTGTGGTCACGTGATGTCCCACAAAAAATTTGGGCCCAATCGTTTGAGCCGTTTTGACGTTTATTGGATACAAACAAACAAACAAACAGACACCCAAACAGACAAGCTAAATTTATATATAGAATATCCTAGGAGCTGCAGTTCTGAATGGACAGATTGTTTACTGCGGGGGAAGAGATAATGATAATGGTATGCAACTTAGGAGTTTATACATACAGTTTAATTACATTATTACTTTTATTAATATTTAAACCTATCTATTACTTAATGATTAAATCCATATTCAAAGTTTCCCAATTAAAACAGATGATTAAAGATGATAATTTAGACATTTTATATTGGAAATTCTTAAAGATTTTAGTTTTATATTTTAGAAATAATCACTGTAAAAAAGTAACACCTTCTAATTCCTTTATCCAATACCTTTGCAACCTGATGTTATTGACCTTAGACATTTTTATTACAATTAAAACTATCAGATCAAGTTGTAAGTTTAAAATATCAATGGTTTACAACATCAGATTCAAAGATATCGGGATTAGAAAATTTAAGTTTGTGGCGAGTAATCTAGTTCTTTTGATAAAGAATAACTAGACATAAGTGCAGAAATTAGTTATTTTACTGATTCCTTTCATAGAAACTGAGTCTTTGCCACAATTTTATAATCTTTATAACTTTGCCACATGATGGTGTAAACTTTTGATATTTTAAACTTAGAATATTTGATATAACAGAATTCATAGTTTGAAAGATTGGAAAATCAGAGTTTGTAGCAAAGACTCAATTCATTTTAAATTCAACTATTATTCTTTGATGCAATCTTTGTGTTTTTTACACTTAAAGAACTAAAGATTGGAGCATTTTAACATTTTAGTATTCTGCTAGTTTGTTTAAGAGCTACAGCAATGCCCAAAAAAAAACTAATCAAAACTATTTTTATACTTGCTATCAGACAGTATTGTTTACATCATATTTAAAAGTAGTAATGTAAATAAACTGTGTTAAACTCCTAAATGTTGCTAACCTATACCTATAGAATACCGCAGGTAGAATATAGTGAACTAGTGAAAATTAATAAATCAAACAATAATGAAATATGGAATATAAATTATATGTATAAAAAAAGATAAAAATTCACAAAATAAAAGTTGAAATTGAATATTTTTGTTTAGAAACTGCTTCAAGAATGAGGGAATGGACTGGATAGAGTTTGAAAGTATGAATGTGGCTAGAATAGACTTTACCCTGACTACACTAGGAGACAAGATACTTGCTGCAGGAGGATATAATTCAAAGGAGGGGTATGTTTTATGTTTATTCTTATTTTTTTTATAAACCTTTTTGTTCTTTATTGATCATCTAGCTTTCTTTGTTATTAAATAAATGGATGTTCTAACATGTCAGTTAAAATTAAATATTTGTTTACTAGGAGAACTGCTACTGTGGAGGTGTTTGATGGATCCTCCTGGAAGCTTCAAAACTATGAATTGACATCTGTCAGAAATTTACACTGTGCTGTTCCTATCAGGTTTACACTTTATTTATATATATTATATATTCAACATGACAAGTGCACACATAAAATTAATCAATAACGATGAAACAAGATGAATTCAAATATTTTCCACCATGTTTTCAAAAATAAATCTAATAAGATGATCTAATTATATTTTTATTCCAAACATTGTTCAACTTTGCTAAATTCCCCTTTTTAAAAGAACAAACTGTTAATATTTAAAGATATCTTACATCAAAAGTTGGCACAAATGAACAGAATCATAAATAATATCATCAAAAATAAAACTGTCAGCATTTTTTAATTCTTTTTATATTTCTTAACATTTTATATTCTAGTGAGAGTCAAGTCATGCTGCTTGGAGGATTTTCTAACGGCTACTTATCTCTTGTTGAAGTCTACAGTATTGAAGAGGGATTCATTGCAGAGCTTCCATCAATGCCAACTGCAAGGTAATCTTTCTAAAATATATCTGAAGACTGAAACATTTAGACATGTTCTATTTTATATTTTTCATGATTTTTTCTAATATTAACAGTGTCATTCTTAAATTGATGAATAAGTTTAAAAATACTTCTCACAAACACATTTAATGAATATAGAATAATAAACAAGTGGATTTAATGAATTTAAATATTCAAATCTAATATTATCAAGTATTCATTATTTTAATAATAATAATAATGAATTAATAATTTATACCATCAGGTTGCAAAGAAATGGGGATTTTAAAATTTGGTTTGTGGCTAAAACTCAGTTTCTTTGTGATGGCTTGCTTTTATAAAAGACATACATATAAAATAACATAAAATTATAGCTAAACTTTCTAAAACCATATTATATGAATATTGTGTTTAATATTTGTTTGTTTAGGTATGGACTAGGATGCAGCATGTTTAAGGGGGAAATATGGACAGCTGGGGGATACAATGGTGGATCTCTAGATGTTGTAGAAGTACTCACACCAGGGTTTACAGGGGGGACCTGGAGGAGTGGCCCTAAGCTGACCAAGAGTAGATACTACCTAACAATGGAGGTGTTGGACAACAGCCTGGTAGTATTTGGAGGTGTCGGTGGTGGAGTTGCAAACAGCCTGGAGATCCTTCAGGGTGAAGAGTGGAGGGAGGAACCTCTGCAATATAGACATACAGACCATGCCTCTGTATCAATTCCTTGTAATTGATACAGAGATGTATATTCATTCTATTGTAATTAATAATTTGATTTAAAATATTGTCTTTTCTTAAAATAAATTGGATTTAATGCAGCAAGTTCTTGTTAATTGTTCTGAATAAAATGAAAAGGAATAGAGTACAGAAGTTTAAAGTTTCATTCTGGAATTTAATTGTTATTGGAGCAAGAGATTTTTAATCATAAGTTTAATACGTTTTTCAAAAATATTCTACTTCAGTCGTCTTCACTCATAGTAAAGTCGTCTTTATTGTTAGAAAAGTTGTTGTTGACGAAGAAAATTTTCAAAAAATATGGTTTAAAAGCTCTACCTCCAACAACAAGTAAATTCCAAAAATGAAACTTCACATGATCATGAAATACAATATATAGGGAATCTCTCAACATTTTTTGTGAAAATTGGAGGATAGCCTAATAAAAAAATTATAATATAAATACAATTTCTGAGCATATGCATTTAGTAAAAAAATTGAATTAGAATTTAATCTTTTAGTAAATAGTAATAAAATGGCGTTAACATTAGCTTTATATCTTTGTTAACAAAAAAGTTACAACAAATTGAAGAATGCGAGGTCAGGCCAGGCCGGAACTTTAGGAGGCTAAAACACATTAACCAGAGGTCACAGGAGCCTGAAATTTTGGATTTGACGTTGATATGCTAGATATATTCAACATTTTAAGAAAATCCATAACAATGATTTCCATGATCTCCAAAAACTGGCTGAGTTCATAAAAAATGACCCTTTTCATTAATTCTGATCCTTGCTCAAATAATCCTTTAAAGGGAGTGACCGGCTATGTAAGGTAGTTGAACTGAGTATGCAGTGTTGTGGAAAACTTCTTTCGGATTCATTTGAGACATATTAAACTTTTTTAAGATATGTAAATCCTGAGTTTGAGCGCAAATTTGACGTTCAAAACTCCAACTTTGGGGGTGGATACGTTTTCAGAATTAGTTTCTTTAAATTATTAAATAACGACGACATAAAATGTAAAAAAGTTCTACAATAAGCTACAAACGTCATGTAGGAACATGTTGAGAAAATAAAAATTAATCTTAGCATCGAAAATAAGTTAGCTTGTTTAATTATTAGTTTCTATTTTCTCTTTATTTTGGTTCCTCATTATTCACAATGATCTTCGCAGATTTTCTAGAATTATTATTGAAAATACGACATTTGGAGAATTTGAAGAAATCTGCAAAGAAATTCAAAGAACAAAAGAAATTCAATATGATAATAAAACGAAATAATCGATTTTAGCATTGATTTATTGACAAATTTCTTTTGAGAAATATGTTCCTAACCATCTAATTAAATTACTGTATAAATTTTACTTTATTTTTCGTTGTTGTTATTTAATAATTTTAAAAAAAAAATAATTCCACCCCCAAAGTAGCAGTTTTGAACGTCGAATTTGCCCTCAAACTCAGGATTTTCATATCTTTAAAAAGTTTAATATGTCTCAAATGAATCCAAAAGAACTTTTCCACAACACTGCATACTCAGTTCAACTACCTTACATAGCCGGTCCCTCCCTTTAAGGATGGATAAGAAAGGGGTTCTAAGAGTGTATTCGAACTTTTATGATCATCCACAATACAACTTCAGTGCTCTTAGTTTCATTTATACAAGAAAATATTATTATCTATCTACACATGGTAATATACACGGTATAATATTATGGGCTATCATTAGTCTATTAAATTTATCAAGACTTTATTACGTTTAATGTGGAATATAATTTATTATATATCGTATCTAAAAAAATTAAAAATAAATGTGCACTACCTCCTTTGGGGAAGTAGAACGGAGACCAGGAGTTCAAACCAGAAATCTAAAAGTATATTCCTAATATATTAATAACATATTTCAGATGAATTTTAACACTTTTAGACAGTGGGGCCCATATAACTGTGGAATGGAATGACGACTGTTAGACTCAGCTCAAGTAATAATTCAAAATGGTCCATTTCACAAAAGAAGTTTTCAAAACTAATAATAAAAGTATTTGCTCTATAACAACTCAAATAAAAGAATACACATAAGATTGTTTTAGTATGTCTCCCCATTCCGAGTTTTATGGGCCCCGCTTTAAGAAATCGTTTTTCTTGAAAGTAAACGAAACATTCAATGACATTTTGATGTCTAAAATTAACATTACGTCATCTGGTGAAGAGTGGGCGAGTAAACTGTTTTAATTGAACAGATGAGAATTCAGAATATAAAGTTAAATTGTAGAAGAGATTGTACGGGTAAGTCTTCAGACCGATGTTTGTCGTAATTTTGAGAATGAGTTGGATAAGAGTTCTAGACTAGTAATTTTAGAACCTTATACTGCAAGCTAACCAGGAGGAGAAGGTCAACTTCAGTTTTCATTACTGTTGCGACTTTATGACCCCCTTGCTCGTCAATGTATGATTTTACGCACAAGTGTGAGAAAAACCAATTTATTCAGTTAAACTTACATCTTAAGAATTCAAAGCTTTTTTCTTCTTCTCAATATCTCTTCATTAAAAGGAGTTGATATGTACGATTTTAATGTTGAAGTTTTTATTATAAAAAGAAATAAATTCTTCCTTTTTGCTTTCTGCTGCTTAAATCCGCAAATCATAAATAATGTCAAGAAAGTTTGAAGTACCGTAGTATAAAAATAACATTGATATTACAACTAAAAATAATTATGCAGACAGCCGCTTAAAAAATATATTTTTAAGCGGATGTTAGAAAATAAGCCACAAGAACAGACAAAATCTATTGCAATATGAGCTCAGGATGTTTATTGATGAAGAGAAAGTTTTTGTTAGAAACGGAATGACACACATTTATACATTACATTAGAGCTAGGAAAAAAACAATTAGACGCTTCAAAATGCAAATTCAACCAAAAGCATACATTTTTTTAAAAAGATTGTGACGAACATAAATCCTGCCTTATCACACCATTTTTCGCACATCTTTTCCGGTTGCATATTTTATATATATAGAAAGCTTTATTTGCAATGCGTTTGAAACCGGTTTGATAAAGGTTGATGTGGAGTGCATGGAGGTTGTGCAAATTCTCTGCAAATTTATTGTATGTATTTATTATACGAAAAGCTATCATGCTTACTGTTGTATTCGGGACTGATCCAGATAAGGGTGAACAGTCCCTTAGATACAATGAGAGATCGGAGAGACCAGAATAAGTCAGTACACCCAGAGCCGTAGCAGTATAAGACACAAGTCTCCTGCACATTACCGCTCTGGGACTTGTGCTACATACAGCGCACAGGAAGTTTACAGTATACAGTGGGTCTTCAAGTGGATGAGCACTGAGCAGTGCTGATACGAAGATGAGCAGAGAGATATATATAATGATGAATCCCGCATACCAAATGAGACCTTATAATGGATATGATGAAGATACAACTGAGGATGCATTTGAAGATGCAGCTAAAGATGCAGCTGAAGATGCAGCTGAAGATGCAGCCAAAGATGTAGCTGAAGAGGATAAGGATGCAGCGGAAGATGAGAGTGTCCCAAGCTTGGAGACTGACCTCTCATCAGATGACGACCAGATCAACATTCCTGGAACAGAAGGAAGGAGTTCTATCTTGATAGATCATGTGGATCATGAGGATCAAGATTATCTTCAGCCCTTTGATGGGCATTTACCCACCCAATCTCCCTAGTATCTGGGATCCTCCTGGACGCCATGGAGCCAAGTTACATGAGTTCCTCCATTCAACCAGGGAGAAGATATTGGACCAGTGTACTCCACCTTATCTCCCTAGTATCTGGGATCCTCCTGGACGCCATGGAGCCAAGTTACATGAGTTCCTCCATTCAACCAGGGAGAAGATATTGGACCAGTGTACTCCACCTTATCTCCCTAGTATCTGGGATCCTCCTGGATGTCATGGAGCCCAGTTACATGAGTTCTTCCATTCAACCAGGGAGAATATATTGGACCGTTTGTTCGTGCAGGTTCTGAGGATGAAGAGATATCTAGAGGAGCAACGGAGGTTAAACTTGATCCCTGAGTATGAGGTATTATTAGAGGGTTTATCCCTCCTTGTGATGATGGGATCCAAGCTTGATAGGATTGCGGAGATCTCAAGAGATCCTGCTCATGTTCCTAAATAGGATCATAATTATTCATTTGATAAGGTCCTCAGGGATCTTGATCATGATGCTAATAAATAAGAATCATGGCCAATACTCATTTGACTTTATAACAGTATCATATTAATAATATGTTTGTGNATTTGATCTAACAGAATTCATAGATTGAAATATCAAAGGTCTGTGACATCGGGTCGCAAAGCCCAAAGACATAAAAGTTTAATAATTAGAATTCGTGAAAAAAAAAACTCATTTCTTTTTCATAAATTTGTTGTTTATATTTTATTTTTGCATCAAATTGTGAAATATTAAACTATTAATAACCAAAATGTCATATCTATACTGTTTGTGAACTGCTAATTAGAATTACACTTTAATTTTGAGATTTTTTTCCTCTTTGAGATTTTTTTCCTTTATGAGATTTTTTCCATTATTTAAGAAATACGTTGTAGTTTTTAGTATATTTTAACTAAATATATTTTTTGGCCTTTTCTATCCTGTTTAATTCAGATAAGCATAATGCCTTCAGAAGAAAAACATACTAATATATGACCAATCTAAAGCTACTTATAATAATACAAAAACAGAGAAAGTACAAAAAATAAAATTAGTTTTGTGAAATTTTTTTCATACTTTCTTTTTTAAACATTTGTTCAAGAAAGCAAATCGTCGCGGAAGTACCAAGTTTTGTCCGATAACAATATACATTTTAGATAAAAACATTTGTAGGAATTTTACAACTAAATAGTTTGAGAAATAAGACGCCATTTTGAAAAAACAATAGTTTTCCCGCCAATTTTTAAATTTCCCGGGAAAATGGTTGTAATAGTTTAGCAAGAGGTGGGAATGTTGTGTTGTCATATTGTTACAGCTGTCTCCGATCTGTTCATATTAGAACTGTCCGCTTTCTTCTAGAAAAAAAAACAATAATTTTTATTACATCATATAATTTTTGAATAACATTTTCTTC